CACTGTAAAAGTTAGACAGAAAAAAAACGGTATCAAGGAATAGCAGGGCAAAAAATGGTCACTTACAAGTTGCTGTTGTTGGACAGCGGCCGCAAGTTTTCGGACATTGATCTGTCATGTAATCGTAATAAAACGTGTCATGGCACAATGATGCACGCTGTGGGCAATCAGTTGTTCCGTCGGAAGCAGTTTTATCATTGCAATTAGTGTTTGCTAAAATCTCTCGGTACTGTTAACTGTTTTTGTTTTTGTTTCATGAAATAGATTGCCAAATGCTTAAGAGTGCAGAGTCAATCTGACTAGACTCAGAACGGATAAATATAAGTAGACAGCACCTGGTGGACATGTACGATTACAAGTTTTTGGGCATTGCTCTGTCATATAATTAAAGTAGACCGTGTCGTTGCAAAGACTTGCACGTTGAGGACAGTCGCTAACACCGTTGGTTGTTCGATCAACGCAGTTGGCTAAAAAGCCTTGTAGTGGACATCTCATCTTGACGACTGCCAGAATGTAAAAAACGACTTACACGCGGTAGCACTGGTGGTGGTGGCAGTACCCGCTACAGACATTTTGCAAATAATGCCTTGATTGCCTGCATATCTCTGCATACAATCAAGTGTCGACCAAGTACCTGTTGCTGTATTTGCGGCATTTGCTATCACGCAACCTGTCGTTGGTGCAGTTGAGCTTGCCCAGTTTCGATAAGTTGATGTGCTGCTGTCAATCCATTGCCAACCGCTTCCAGAGTTCTCTAGACCTACCCAGTATTTCAGGTTTGGTCTTAATTCTAAAATAAAAAACATTTAATTTTTGAGTATTTGCGTTGTTGAACGTTACCAGACAAGATTCTAGTTAAGACAAACGGTTTAGAAAAGTTTGTTCTGTTGCTGAATTGATGGTCACTAATGTGGTGTTTGATCCTACTCTTTGGCACGTAGTTTTAGCCTGCTGATATGTTGCATTCGCTAACATCTGCAAATATAAGTCAGAAAAGCAATTTTTAAAAAAATATGAGTGTTGTGCAATGGATTTTGCCACTCTGAACATAAGGCTTACCGCGAAATAACAAGCATTCTCGTGCAGTTGCCAGGCGCTATTTGGGCAAGTGCCTAAACAAATACAGACTACAAAACGTTGAGGTAGATTTTGTCAGGAGATTTTTAAAAACTCTGGTATGCTACATCTGTAGATCAAAACTAGCAGTGTACAGAATTGGAACAA